AAACAAATAAACAAATAAATAAAAATAAAGGCAAAGTACTTGAAAATTCTGGATTTGTGAGTAACGGTTTAAATAAGTTGTCAGTTTCAGATGTGCCCCCCGCTGTTTCTGTCAGGTGGAGGTGAGTCCGTTAGAAAACGCCGTCTCTGTGGTGGAGAACAAGAACCAGGAGCTGCGGACCCTGATCAGCCAGTACCAACACAAACAGCTGCACGGAAACATCAACCTGCTCAGCATGACGCTGAACGGAGTCATCGACGCCGCCGTCAACGGAGGCATCGCCAGATACCAAGAGGTGGTTTTTTTACCTTTCTTCAATAATCTGTTCTCTTTCTGCCCCTTTAAGGATTTTTAGAGATTAGGACAGAATAATATAAATAAAAGTGCTTCTTTTTTCTGTCGTCAGGCTTTCTTTGATAAGGAGTACATCACCAGCCACCCTGAAGACACGGACAAGATCACTCAGCTCAAAGACCTGATGCAGGAGCAGGTGTTTGCTTTGGTTTCTTTTACGATTAAAAAAAACTAACTTTAATGCACAGCTGACTCAGAAAATATCATCATCAGAATCATTAAAATCAAAATCAAAATTATATTTTTTTCTACAAAAAAAGGTTCGTAAAAAGAATAACAATTAGTTTGTTTGCATGATAACACAATGAATGTGCTTTTGCTTTGTTTGTTTTTCTCTCAGGTTCACATCTTGGGAGTGGGKCTAGCCGTGCACGAGAAGCTGGTGCACCCAGAAATGCGTCCCCTGCACAAGAAGTTGATAGATCAGTTCCAAATGATGAGGAGCAGCCTCTGCCATGTGAGTGCAGAATAATGCTTGTTGTGTAATTTTTAATATTTCCGGGTATAACCGGATCAGGGCGCTGAAGCAGATTAATGAGTGACTTCGTTAAACAGGATGTTCTCTTGCCTGAAGCAAAGATTTTAGAGTTCAGAATTTAAACTCTTTCAACTTTGATCGTTTCACCTTTTAAACGTTATYATAATTCTTCCTGACATTACAGACACCACACAGGCTTGTCGCTGCCGTTTTACGTTTAAATTTAAGAGCAGTGTGAATATTCAGAGCAGTGCTTCTACGTCGCCTTTCAGGGTCCACCTGGTTTCGACAAGTCTGGTTCTGGAGCCAACGCCCCCCGAGGGATCCTGGCCTCCCACARCCCCATGAGCCCCGAAGGCTTTAAACTTATGCACCGACACAGGTCAGCAACAAGCACACTTTATTAAGAAGGCTTTGATTCATTCACAAAACCAAAAACTTTATTTTTTTAATCATAAAAAAGTTGTTTCCTGAAGCTTAAACACATAAAGTCTCATGTTTTTGTACTGAACCTCTGAACGGATATAAAGTTAATATGTGATAATTCTAACTCTCAGTTTTTATATTTCTGAACACGGTTTTCTTTTATAGCAGCAACACAGACTGTTGTTTGTTTTATTCTTAAAACCAGATCATGTTAACTTATAATGGATAATAATAGTAATTATTTTGTGATGGAAAATGACTTAAAAGCAAAACCTGAGTTTTGAGAGGAGCTAAGATTTCAAGAAGTTAATTTTTCAGTCAAACATAAAATGATTTTATCAGTGGATCTGGAGCAAAATATTAACATATTATTTTAGGCAGAGRTGTATACAGCACTTAAAAACTAGTAAAAATAAAAATATCTTAGCAGAAAATGACTTTGGTAAAAATGAACTTTTTACAAAAAAATGACTTAAAATATGGAGAGATGGTTTAAAGACAGCTAAAAGGTGAAAATTAACTGTTTACATTTTATATTTACTGTGAGCTTTTTAAAATCAACACCTCATCTTCTCATCAGCTTCTTCTGTTCACTGGTTTCATCGACTGTTTCTCATTTAATTTCTTTGTTTCTCAGCTGCTGTTTTCTGCTCACATCACATTTTCTGATATTCTTCCATTTTCTGTTTCCTGTCTGTCTTCTGTTCCTGATCAAAACCAAACTGTCTGCATGATCTGATCTGCTGCTTATTCTCATCACCTCGCATGATTATTATAA